CTAATACCCAGTGATGCCCCACAAATTCCCGAAGAGACAGCACTGAGACCTGTGCAGCTCAGCACCTGAAGGTTCCTGGTCAGCATGTCGGGGGAAGACCATGGAGACTCTGCACCCTCTGCAGCTCTCCTGTTGGCTCCGCATATATAATAAATAGGTTCACCCAAGCCAAGCATTTCCCTAAGTCCTGTGAGCTGCGATAGCAAATTCAGCCAAATCTGAAGAGGGTTTTATAAACCAAGGGGACTTTAATTTGTGCCTGGTGGTGTAGAAGCACAGGTGACAACCTACCATGTTCATCGGTGCATCTGACTTTTGAAGCTGTGGCTGTCCTGTAGGTTCTGCCTACCTCCAGACAGCAGGACCAGACTGAACTGAATTAAAGAAACCCAACTGGTGTCTGCTGGGGAACAAACTGCTCAGAGTGTGGGCTCTCTGCCTAGGTAGCACCATGAATGCCAAGCAAAAGTTGCGTTAGAGGAAGAAATAGCCCTTTATGGGAGAGGGACACTCCTGAGGCCCACTATTCCCCCACATTTGATGTGTTTACCCCTCTGGAAAGCCTGTAAACTTTCCATTCAGAGATTTTATGAAGATTCAGTTAGTCACTGGTGACTAACTCCATTTCAGGAAAGGAAAATCTAACCAGGCAACTAGCCTCTATCACAGACCTGTCAGAGGCCCTCAGCAGAACAAACTCCAATGTCAGGAATGGTTAAACAGTAAGACATTCATCTCACCCCATCGCCTACGAAACTCAAAAAAGAAAGTGCATTTTGAACCCAAAATCCCCCATTCAATTTTATGGTTTTTGTTTTACCTGGATATTGCAGCTTTTTCCATTATTTCCTGCTGAATGAGCCCAGATGGCTCAATGACATCCAATATAATTATGCTCCACGATTTATCTGATTTGGGCCTTTGTAACACAACAGCTTCATCTTCTATATGTCTCAGCCAAAACTCAGCCTTAGGGAAGTGATTGGCTTCAGATGTAAGGTCCAAAGCAACACAATGCTGGTCTTTCTACACAGAACTGTAGGGCTTAACCTCACCAAGTGTTCCAGCAATCACAGGCAAAAGAGAGAAGCCTTCGGACACATCCAACACATAGAGAGGGTCAGAGGTGCTCGGTGCACTCTGTCCACTTCCAGAGTTCATCTCAGAGTCCTGACACTGAGGATCCATAGGCTGACACAGTTTCTCTGGGGCCAGCGAAGACAACACCTTCCTCATGGCCATCCTAAAGCCTTCAGGATATGGAATGTTATTGAGCAAAGCAACCTCTGCAGGTTCTAACACACAGGGCTGCTCCAGAGCATCTGCTCTACTGGTCTGAAAGTTAGCCAGAGCACTACAGAGCTCAGCCTCATTTCCTAGAGACAGCAAGTCTTCACTCTTGGTAAAATGCTTTATAACTTCCATTTCATGTTCCAAATGCATGAAATTGATACTCTGGATTCTTAGGTAACAATTTTGACAAGATGCTTCCATTGTCACACAGTCCCCGGGATTTATCCAGTAGTCGTCATTAGTAAGAAAGGAAAAAAAAATATATGTAACTGATTGTCACAGTTAGTTCTATTGCTATAATAAACACCATGACCAAAATCAAGCTGGGGAGGAAAGAGTTTTTCTGGCTTATACTTCCACATTATAGCCCATCATTAAAGGAAGTCAGAAGCAGGAGCTGACACAGAGGCCATGGAGGGGTGCTGCTTACTGGCTTGCTCCTCATGGCTTGCTCAATTTCCTTTCTTATAGAACCCTGGACCTCCAGTCCAGGAGTAGTTCCACCCACAATAGAATGGGCCCTCACCCAACAATTGCTAATTATGAAAATGCCCTACAGGCTCACCTACAGCCCCATTTCATGGAGGCATTTTCTTAATTGAGACTCCCTTGTCTCAGATACTTTAGCTTGTGTCAAGCTGACATAAAACAAAATTGTCCCCTTGTCACCTTAAGCTCTGAACAGGTCCATTCCACGGCTGCTGTTGTTATTGGCAGTTGTCCCATGATATTGGCATCTCCAAAGTGCTAGGGTCTCTTGCTACAACTGAGCTGCACCTTAAACTTGGCCTGTGACTAAAGTTGACCGGGAACTCCTTGTTCTCCTCCCTCTACCTCCTAAGATTTGGAATTGCAGATGTGTACTACAAAGCCCAGCTTCTTACAGTTTTGTTTATTTTCTAAGATCAGAAGATGTACTGCCAAACTGAGGAAGATGTGGGGATAGAAAGAGGCTTTGTCTATAAGCAAAGGTAGATGAAATTCAAGGATCAATATCAAGCCTCCTTTTAGCTTAAATAGGCAGTCTTTTCTCTAAAGGTGATTTCCAAAAGATTGAAAGTATTCAACACAATGGCATCTAACAGTCCTCAAGCATTTGGGAATTTACATGTTTAGGAAGATCACGGTTTAAGGGAAAGCTAAGTCCTGCAGAAAGGACTATCCTCTGCTCCTTTCTGAGGTTTCACAGGGTCCATTTCTAAGCCGTCATGGATAACTGTCCTTCAGCCATAGAGCCAGATAAAAATACAATCTGTCCCAGAAATGGCAGTACACGCCGACAGGACCAGACATCAGGGAGCTGAGGCAAAAAGGTTGCTTGAGCCCAAAAAATCTGCTTCATAGCCCTAACTACTAGAATTCAGTGCCTAGAAATCCTTAAAGGTAGAAGGAAATGGTTGTCCTCTGACCACATGCATGCAATGACAAGTGCACGCCCCCAAAAACATCTATACATCACAGAAACAAAAGTTTTAACAGGGAAAAAAAAAACAAAAACAAAAAGTTGTTATTTTTATGTTTAAGCATTTAAAATGGCTTTTCCCTGAAGATTCTTCAAGGGATATTTAAATTATCTAAGAAAATAAAAATAAACAAATATAGATTTCAAATGTAACTTTCTTAGAGCCAAGCTTTTTTATTTATATCTTACCATTCCCACAACCCTCTAGGGTAGACAGCACTGTCCTATTTTCAGCTAGAACCCAGTAATAGTTCTAACATCTTTGTTGGCAAGTCATTCAACAAGAGAGCCAAGACCTGAACCTGAATCTTCAGACTACAGATTCCACAGTTGCTTTGGCGAATCAGATCCCTGATAAAGAGACCACAGACATGGACTTCCTATAAATGCATACTTTTCCACATATCTTACTGTTGG